TCAAATCCACACCGTTCTTCTTCAGCGCAGCCAAGTGCTTGATGTCCAGCGTGGTGAAGGTGGTGAACTGGACCTGATTCCTCTTACTGGTGGGGGAGTGAAGCGGCTCGTTGCGATGGGGCCTGGCCAACAGAGTGGCCGAACGATTTGCCATGGGGTCGAGAGCCTTTCCCTGAAACTGCTGCTGGGAGCTGGCCCGGCAGCGGCCCAGGGTGGCGGTCCGTTCAGGGACGGCGGGGCCACTGACAGTAGGCAGGCTGCTCTCGTGGCTGCAGTGTCCCATGGAGTCTACGGAGTGCCGGGACTCTAGAGAGCGATGAGGCTCACGTTTGAGCGTGGTCACTTGAGCTGGGACACCGGGGGCCGGGGCACCTTCATTACCTCCCCCCAGCCACACCCAGTCATGCCTGTGGCCCTCTGACTCCCTGCCAGGGGCCGGGCCTCCCTGAACAGGAGTCTTGTCTTTGCGAAAACAGAGATTATATGAAGCAAAGTTAACAATAAAAGCCAAGATGGCCACACAGGAAACGGCTGCCAGGGAGTACATGCTGAGTTCAAGGTCCGACATCGATCTGAACGTCCGAATGAGGTTACTCTCAATTATTTTGGGTGTTCTAGTTTTAGGAGGCTCCTTCTTAGGAGTCATTACACTGATGTCTTCGTTAGGGTTTCCAAAGCCCTTTCTCCGTTCTTCACCTTTGATAAGAGCGCCATCTGTGGTAGCTACAGGTCTGTCAGTGAGCAGAGATGTCACGGGAGAAGCTGTCGTGGACGTTGTGGGCTTGACATTGAACGGAGAACCTCTCGTAGCTCTTGTCATACCTCCAGATCCAATCCAGACGACATGTGGCCTGATGGACGTTGTAGAAAGTGCGGTGGAGACGGTTGTTTCAGCCACGAGAGACTCAACGTTCTTCAGCAGCCATTTGTCTAAATCTGTGACAGAACGCTGAGACGTCACTGTTCTTTTCAGATCTCCAACCACTTCTGAAGCACCACCCAAGTCTTCACCTCCCCTCCTATCTCCTGCGACTCGACCGCTTCCTCGGAAGTTAATTCGGAGGAGCGCAGAGCCCGTGACCAGTTTGCTTTTTCTCTTGGACTTTTGACATTCCTCGCAGATCCTGAGCTCCACCCTCACTAGCGCCCCCCGTCCCTCGCCTTCGCCTTGTGCTACCAAAAACGTGGACACCGGAGTGCGACGCACCGTGGCAACCCTTATGTCAGGGGTGGAGATGGTCAGGGAGTAGGTGCTGCGGTCGAACAGCTCCAGTGGAGTGATGGCGCCGTCACTGAAGTGAACCCAGCAGCTCACCAGCGCCTCCTGTGAAAGAAGACGGCCAGAGAGAAAGACATCAAAATATTCACATTCAAAATCAAACTTATTTCCCAGCGCTGCTCCATCTTCAGAGCTATTCGCTCATGATCGGTAATGACACTAAATTGCCTTTGCTAATCTTTTCATGATTACACTTGGTGGAGTGCTACTGTACCGTAAATTGCAGTCCTGTGAACTCAGTGTGAAGTATAATTCAAGCAAAGTGGATTAAAAAGAGTATAATGGGAATAAAGGCCCAGACGATAAGGGTCATGTAAAGAGCAGAATGAGCCAATCCAATCACAGACACAATGACCTATTTCCTGCTGCTAATGTGAGTAGCAGACCTGGGTTTGAATACATTTCCGATTGCCCCGAGCAGAACATTAACAGCTTTCCACTGCAGACACAGTCGAACGGTCGTCTCCAATGCCAGTGGGTCGGTCCAAATGGTTTGTTATTGACAGAGGCCACATATGGCAGTGGCTGAGTACTGTAGGTAAAATGGGTTGTCACTCATTCCAACAGCCACTGTATGACTACTGCCCTAAACATCTGCCCCACGCTTACTTTCAAAATGGACAAACTGCCAGGGCGGTGTGTCAGTGTGTGAGCTTTTAAAGTGTTTCATCTCTGCGCCCCGTCTGTCGTTCTGTTCCAGGCTCTCACACAGCACGCTAACTGTAGATGACGGTCACAACTGTGAAGGCAATGACGCTGTTTTCTAGGGAGTCCAAAAGCAAACAAATGCGATTGGCATCCCTGCAGGGATGGTGCTGGGTTGAGACGATTCTTTTAATTTAAATTCTCCAAAAGGGTCGTTTTATTTTGCTGTTTCTGAGAAGGATATATCAATAAAGACAATTTACGCTGTCCATTCTTAGAAAAGGGTTCGGAAGAAAGCAGTCTTAAATTATTTGGGGAGAAGCATATTATGCTTATGTTCCCACATTGGAACATTTAAAACTTGATGAAAAAGCTTATCTTGTTTTCATTTCATTTCATTTTCTGCAAGATGAAAAAAACCATTAGGGGTCCAAAGAATGAGACTGTCTGTGGAATCTACTTCATCCCAGAAATTTACACCACAACAAACAATGTTGTTGTTCAATAAAATGTTTTGTACATACAAATATACAGCAAATTCTCTTTATACTTCACAAAGGCACTCTGAACACTTTCCACTTTTCTCCTTCAAGAACTGCAAACTGTATCTGGCGGTGGCCTCTTACATTCCAGGTACTACTTATCTCCTGTTTTCAAATGTCACATCCTGCCTACTCACCCTTTTTTTTCCAAATCTGTAAATAATTTCTGTTCAATCCAACTCCTTAAGTGTAATTCTCCCTCTTTTTTTAAATTAAAAGTTGATTTAGCATTTCATAAAATTGCATAGGAATTAAAATAATGACATCTTCCAGAAAAAGATTGTTTACATTTTATCAACACAACAGGCTTGTTGTCCATGGGATCATTGACGGACCATGTCCGTGTTACAGATCTGTCTGGGTAAAAGAAAACTCAAAGCTATATTTAAAATTTGATAACAACACAGTGTCCAGTGAGGACGACGTGTTATTTATTCTGTGTGTTTCCAGGGTAGTGCAGTTATCTGAGTGAAATGAAGAGAGAAAAGTATCAGTGTCTTCAACAGTCCCAACGTTTCAGTACAGCTCTCAGGTGATATCTCCTTCTATGATATTGGTTATTTTAATGTAGTGGAAAATGAACCAAACAATTGCTCAGAAATATGCTAAAAAATGAACCAAAGGAACTAAAACCAAACCAAACAATTGCTCAGAAATATGCTAATCGTAAATATCCTCTGGTTAGCATATTTGAGCTAGAAGCTAATCTGCGTCCTAAAATGACCCTGAATACAGAACAGGGTTAGTGGACAATACCTAAATTGACCCAGAGGAACGCAGAAGTAAAAAAAAAAAAAAAAGTATGCAGTTTTAGTTTTTTTAAAGTCCATGTTAAAAAGATGACCCTTTTCCTGGTGTAGCATGGTATGCTAGGTGGTAGCATCACGTGTGTTGTTAAATTTAAATGTTAGCTAAAATGTAAAAACAAGAATTGCTGCTAGGTACATGTCAACATTAGACATTAGCCATAAACATGTAAACATTAGCAATTAAATATATATTTAATTTTACTTTCATAAGTAGCTATTTTACCCTTCATTAGAAAAGCAAATAACTAAATGTCAGCAAAAAACTGAACTAAAGCCAAGTTAGTCAAAAAAAAAAAACAATTTGAGTTTAGCTCAAAGAAAATGACCTATCAGAAGCATGATTTGACTTTTCTACTACAGCTTTGTAGACATGGTTGAATATTCATCACAGCAACCACAAACACTGCCATATTCACACAGCTCAGCCGCTGCTGCAGACTTTAATGCTTTAATATGTAACTAATTTTCAGGAGGCTTTACCTGCTTGAGCTGCATGATCGTCTCCCGTGCGGTTGCTGTGGCAACTATGGCCCGGCTGTTGCCCCCGGGGCTGAGTTGCAGTGACAGAGAGAGTCCAGAAATCAACTGCACTCCCAGTTCTGTCACGCTCACTTTGTCATCCACGACCCTGACGGTCTTCTCGGCCAGGACCGCTGATGTCAAAGGGGAAAGCACCTGCAACCAGTACAGCTGTGTTTGACGGCCGGGGAACATCAGGGGTATCACACTCATACACACACTCGCAGACACGCAGACATCAGGGCTCACCTGTACGGCAGTAATACCCACACCCCGGCCCTGCAACACCACCCCCTCGTGGACCCTGGCTACGTCGAGGTCGGCAACTTTGAGAGAGTCGCGGACGACATTGGTCACATCCACCTGAAGATATTGAACAGAAAATAACAGCATTACATTCTCTGCTACATTACACAACAGGATGTATTCAGAAGATCTTTTGGCTGCATCAGCTAGATACCATCCATCTACTCTTTTCATTTATATGACCAGGCGTCTTTATAGAGTTTATTATTTGAGTTAGTCACATGATCAGTTATACATATATAACTTCAGCAAAATGTAACCCTGAATCACCCCATAGAGTGTACATATTTATTGTAGTCACCATTGGGAAATATACAGCACATACAGTATATATAGTATATAATAGCCCAAAGAAGTCTAATGAGAATGCGTATCATAGGGCCTGGAGGGCCACCAGGGGGCGCCAGGCTAGGAAGACAGGGAAAAAAATCCATCCATCCATCCATCCATTTTTATCCGCTTATCCGTTACCGGGTCGTGGGGGCAGCAG